TACTCGAGCGGAAATTGAACGAGGGTTCGATGACGGCATGAAAAAAAATCTAAAGGTGCCCATACACTGCACGATTATCGTACGATAATCGTATGCGATCGGGTTTTTCGTACGATAATCGAGCAGTGTGAACGGAGACGTGCGACCGTTTCTACTGTACGGTCGCACGTCTTCTGTCGAACCAGCATGTTCGAAAACCAGACGGGAATCGTACGATTCTCGGCTGGTTAGAACGGTGCTCGGAAGATAAATGCTGAACGGGCCGGTGTGCGCACGCGCACACTGCCCGTTCAGCATTGCGGTCATCGGAAGCCCGCCCCTCAGGAGGGCGGGCTTGCGATGATCGAGAGTGCGATCTGCCTGTCCAAGATAGGCAGATCGTACGTTTTTTTAATCCCTTTACAACCATCGCAAGACTAAAGTCTTGCGATGGTTGTAGAGTGTATGGCCACCTTTAGGATAATCCCAGAGTGTATGGCCAGCTTTACACAAACCAGTTTTGTCACATACTGCCAGTTTTCCCCATTGGATGGACAGCTTGGTTTGTTCACAGCTGACACAGAGGGTGACAATCTATTCTTTATAAATAGTTTATACACCTACCTGCTACCCAGAACATTTTGCAATGTAAGATTATCAGTAACATTAAGGTGATCAGATTTTATTACTACTTAATAGGGATGCACAGATACTTTTCGAGTACCAGTGCAGATACTTGGCATTTTCATGAGAACTACCAGGGTTGCAGCGGTTGCAGCTGGGACCTGGCTCTGGCGCTCCACCATTGTCCTGAAATCATTAGTCTGTATTGTTTTAGAAAAACTGTCACATGACAATAAACAAAAATGTATCAGTACTTGTAAGTACTCGGCAAGTACCAGTACTCGCAAAGCTGGTATCTGTGCATCAATTTATTTATATTTATAAAAACAAAATCATACAATAAAACAGAGATGTACAAATCCCAGGAGCTTTGCGTGCCCCTTACAAATGACAGCTGCCGCCTAACTTTTGAATTTTTCTCTAGTCTGGTCTTGGAGCTGGAAAAGTATCGGTACTTGTATCGAGTACGGTACTTGGTATCGGTGCATCCCTACTACTTAATATGTGTGAGTGTTATCTTCCACAACCGAAATGCTCCTGACATCATTAGGGACATTTACAGGCCGCAACTTCGGTCCTATTAATAAGAATATAAATGAATCACTGGCGAATGTGACAGCTAATAAAGGCCAATGTTACAGTAACCTGTAAAACAGCTGGGCCAGAGCATTCCATAGTCCTGAAACTTTTTTTTTTTACAGTTTTGGCACTAGACAGGTTGATTTAGCTTTTGGTTTTTTTGTGTGATTGCAAGCGGTTTCAAACTGGATGACAAGGCCAGAAAAGTATTATGTATATGGCCAGCATATTCAAACATTCATAAAAGTTGAATCCATAATTTCTAAAGAAAAACATTTAATTACATGGAGCAGAATTAAAGAGAGGAGATATCACTATCCACTCTCCAAAAGGCACCAGTGTAGCTCTGTACATTTTATACCTTATTCATAAAATGCAGGGAGAGGAGCCTCTGGCATTCCGCGGAGCATTATCTGCATAACGCCGCCGCACTCTTTGATTAGGAGAGACAGGTCATGTGACCAGGCTCTCTTCCTTCTAGATTTCCTTTTTCCCCCATTTGAGAATTTAAATGGGGCTTTTCTTCAGAGTGCCGAAGCAAGCAAAGCAAAGGGCACATTTGTAAAGCAAAACAAATCCATAACTAGCGCTTAAAGTAAGGTGCACATGGAAGGGCTCTGCACAGTACAAACAGAAAGACTTCCCAGCACGCTTAGCAGCCAGCCTGCAAAAAAACAACAATTTACAGTCTAGCAAAGTGTTCAAAACTGAAGTTTTACTTGCACAACTTTTGCAGAATATGTGGAGGTCGCACTGCCTTGTCAAGCCTCCTCTGAAGTGTGGTCCAAACTCTAACCTATGAGAGCCTCCATCTTGGAGCATATAAAGCAATGGATACATTTGTGGAAGATTCAGGTTAGGAAGGCCATACTGCTTGTTGAACCAGCCTCTATGGGAGGTCACTGTGCAGATGTATGTACAATTCTCTCTTAGGGATTGTACAATTGAATTGTGTGACTGTAATCTAGATCTATTAAGCATTCGGCGCCTGTAACACTAAGGCTGGGTACACGCTTATGGAATCTCACATTAATGCAGCAGGAATCTGACAAATTGTGATGTGTGGGTGGCCCCATCTCCTTGACAAAAGTCGAACATTAGCTCAATTAGATCAACTTTTGAAGGGACATGCTAGACAATTGTTGGCACAACAGTACTCGTGGCCAATCAGCGGCAAGCACTGTTCAGGTATTCTGATAGCGGTGGGCTCCATTGTCAGAACACATTGTACACAACAGGAGATTCGTTCAGCCATGCTATTAGGGTGAATGGAGGAATCTGTCGGATAATCTATCAGTTTGGTTTATTCATTCAGCCTTGTGCTAAACAAAACAAAAATCTCTACCCAACTTTAGAAGAACATTTTTTACTTTGTTTAAACTCATATAGGATTTGGTACAGTCCTTCCTTTTTCTATAGTAACATTAACATGGGATCCAGCAGACCAGTCAGCACACGCCCTATAACATCTTCTGGAGGTCAGTTTGGTTTAGTTCACTTTATAACAACCAATTGATTTTTAGTTTGCTAGAACTTAGAGAGGTTTCTGGTGGCTATGGGTTACTGCACTCAGGCCTCAAAATTTTCACTCGCCCCCGCGCAATTGGCGAGTGAAAATTGCATAGGGGCGAGTGGAATGTCATCGAGGGGGTGTGACCAGGGATGCGACACTACCGCCGCGGCGATTGCTCGCTTCTGTTCTCTCCTCGACCGCTGCAGCTACAGAGCAGCCGAGAAGAAGAGAGAACAGACGCAAATGATCGCCGCGGTGGTAGTGTCCCATGCCTGGTCCCGCCGGCGGCGCACCCCATCGATGACATTCAGCTCCGCTGTCTTCTGCAGCTTCCTCCGCCCAGCTCAGCTGCCATAGGGTGGGAGGATGACTGTAGGGACAGTGAGACACGCAGACAGAAAGTTATGCAGGGGGAAAAGAGGATACATAGAGGATCTCTGTACCCCCCCCCCCCCCCCCCCCCCCCCCACAGCAGGAGCAGAC